CATAAAGATTGTATTCCATATCAAAAGGAGCCCAACAAAATAGGCAAAAGAACAGCCTAGAGGTGGAGGGTTGAGAAGACCCTCCCCAAGGGGACTAAACAATCAAGGAATTCCAACTTTGTAGGATCACGATCAACAGAAAACCATAGTTACAAAAAAACCTTCTTATGGATCGAAGCCCACCAAGAAGCTGTATGCTTAATATTAACACTAAAAGATTAAAAAGAGGCCTCTTTCTCTTCAAAGCCCACCAAGAAACTGTATGCTTACAATATCACTAATATTGTAACTAATAGGATTCAATTATTCTATAAAATTTGTCTCCAATGTTTTTAAAGTCTAGGTAGTAAAAGTAATAATAGATTGAATTGTTACCACCCCTACACTGCATTCCATACGCAGAGAAACCTTTATAATTTGTAAGAATTGCGCAAATTAATAATATTATTCTAATCATTACATGAGGCGTAAAGAATTTAAGCCTCAGTTCAACTTCGAAGAGGTGTAAGCCTCTTATGGTTCAAAGAAGGTGTAAGTCTCGAGGCTAAAAGTTAAAGCCTTGCCTCAAGGCGTAAGCATCAAAAGCCTTTTAAAACATTGTCTTGGACGAAGTATTGGTAGAATCACATATCATAGCTCGATAGGTATCACGCTATTCCAGGCAGTCTACAAACGATTACCACCCCCATTAAACTTATATGGCAGTCAAAAGACGTCTAATGCAAGTCTTAATCAACAACCGGCAAAGTGCGACTCGACATTAGAGATCCTCAAGGACTAGTTGAATCAAGCCCAGAACAGATTGAAGAAACAACCAAATAACCATCATAGGGATGTGGAATTTGAGGCATTTGAGGCAGGAGATAAGGTTTTTCTGAAGCTTCGATCCTATAGATAGAAATCTCTGGCAAAAAGAAGGAATGAGAAACTAACACCGCAGTTCTTTGGTCCTTACACTATTGTTCAACGTATTGGGAAGTTTGCCTACAAACTTGATTTGCTTGCAGATGCAACCATCCACCCCGTGTTTCATGTATCCCAACTTAAGGAAGTTGTGGGGAATGCTTAGGCCAGACAACACATTTCACCTCAATTCACTGATGGAATTGAGTGGATTGTTGAACCAGAAGAAGTAGTGGATTGTTGAACCAGAAGAAGTGTACACCATACGCCTGAACAGAGACATTGGGTAACAAGAGTTGTTACTCAGTTGGAATAACTTCGCTGAAGAAGTCATGTGGGAGTCCGTTCAAGAAATTCGCAAGCAATTTCCAGAATTCCACCTCGAAGACAAGGTGTTGCTGACTGGGAGGAAGATGTAAGAGCCTCCATTGTTAACACTTATTCTAGAAGGGGTAGAAAGGGATATGGCAATGATGGCCAGGAGAGAGAATGTTTGTCTGGTTAGTACAGGAGGGGACCACGTAGAGGAAGATATAGGTCTGCCGTGTTTGTTAGGGAGGATATGCTGGTTATTTTGTGCCTCAAAGCAAGGAAGGATAGGTTAAAGAGAGTTTCCCCACCCTCTCGAATTGGTGGGTTGCTTCTGTAATGCCCGAGGGCTGTTTTCTTTGATTATGAAATATGAAATGGTGAGGAGATACCTCACAGAATCTGAACTCTTTATTCTTTGTGAAAATCCTTGTACGCATGGTCTTCCAGTCTACTATTTCCTTGCTACAAACACCGAGTATCTAAAGACTTCTTCTCTCTCTTTTTCTCGCCGAGGAGAAATTATTCAGGAAGATGATATGATGCGGCTGACTGTTTTATTAAAAGTTATGGTTCTACAATGCATCCAAGGGTTTTGAGGGGGCAAAAGAAATGTGATGGCCACATTGAATAATTTTCGCTATTAAGTCCTCGAATCTGCTTGGCACAAAATTATTTCTAGGATAGATCGTTTTCGTTCCCCTGGTGCAACCTACAATGACCTAGTGTTTCTACCATCTTACTAGCCCTAGGTTCTCTTTGTAGGTCTTTGTTGTGGTTGTCTTTATGAGATCTGAGATCTTGGTTCACTTATGTTCCTCTTTTTTCTCTTTGTTTTGTTTATTTATTTTTGTGGGGATTTTTTTATTAGAATGTCTGCAGAAATTATTAATCTAATGTGTTCTTCCCTCTTTTTTTTTTTACTAGAATGCATCCCATGCTACTCCTAAATTTGTCTCGTAGTTCCCGCCACCCCTTGAAAATAAAAAAGTATACTTTAAATGGCGTGTCTGTGCTTTCCAGCTGATAAGTTAATGTGTTTGCTCTGTTAAATGTAATGTTTTTTTAGGATTTGTGTCAGAAGAAAGGTTACCTTTACTGTTGAGAATGGAGAAAAATGAAGTTCAGATTTTTAATCATACTAGTTGTAAATGGCTAAGGGTTACTACTTTTCAGGTTACTTGCGGAGCAGAGCTTGCTGTGTTATTCGTGGAGACACTTGTTAAAGGCCAATTTCCTTATGATGATGATACTCTTGGTGAGTTCCATCCACTCCCCCTCATCCACCCAAAGAAAAAAAACTTTGACATACTTGGCCATATCTTTTTTCTTAGGGTATTAGTAAGTATGTATCGGGGATGTTATTGGGTTTCTAGTGGCATAGTTGTAACTACATAGGAAGTTGGTTGGAGTGGATGGTTATACATAGATTGAGTTAGAGGTTTGAAAGTTGGAATTTTGGAAATTGGCCTGAGACTTGGGAGATGGATAACCCTCTTGAAAGACTATTGTTATTGTAATTTCTCTTTGGTATTGCAATATAGCTATAGTATTATTTTCTTACAAATGGGATCCTATCATTTTTCCATTGCTTTTTTAGTGTTTGTTATTCAGTATTTGCATTTCGATTTGAGATTATATTCCCCCTTTACCCTTTTCATACTCGAGATGAAAATTCAAATCAAAATTATCCGTGGATTGCGGTATTCTAAATTCAAATAGGGGGAAATCTTGGTTTTGGATAAAGGGGTTAATGAAGAGAGAGATTTGGTCTCCAAGGATCCGATCTTGAAACATTCCACGATTTTTTTGAGAAAGGAATTATCAACAAAAGGACAAATGAAACATATATTTGCCTAATACCCAAAAAAACTCAACCCTCCTCAGTAAAAGACTTTAGACCCATAAGCTTGGTTACTTCTCTTTATAAAATTATAGCTAAAGTGCTCTCAAGCAGACTCAAGAAGGTCCTCCCCCTCATCATTCACGATGCTCAGGCGGCTTTTGTAGAAGGGCGACAGATTCTTGATGCTATTTTAGTAGCTTCTGAATCAGTTAGCTACTGGAAAAAAGGAGAAAAAACAGGGCTACCTCTTAAAACTTGATTTTGAGAAGGCTTATGATAAGGTCGATTGGTCTTTCTTAGATGCAGCGCTTCAGGTGAAAGGCTTTGGTGTCAGATGGCGGATGTGGATTTGGGGTTGTCTCTCGACCACAAACTTCTCAGTTATTGTAAACGGAAGACCTAGAGGGAAGATTTTGGCAAAGAGGGGTCTTAGACAGGGAGATCCTCTCTCTCCCTTTCTTTTCACCATAGTGGGAGATGCCTTCAGTAGGCTAGTTCATTTTTGCTACGAAAGGAACATCCTAAAAGGTTTTGCTGTAGGCCAAAATTCTATAGAGGTAACACACCTTCAGTATGCAGATGATGTACTGATTTTTAGCCTTTATTCTCCTAAGATGATGGAAAATTGGTGGGGTCTGATTCAAATTTTCCTTACTATGACGGGGCTTTCATTGAATGTTGCTAAAACTGCAGTGATAGGGATTAATTGCAGTGAGGCAGATGTGAATTTCTGGGCCTCTGTTTTTGGGTGTAAGGCAGAATTCTTTCCCTTCTCCTATCTTGGTTTTCCTCTCGGAGGAAATCATAGAATGCCAATCTATTGGGAAGCCGTGGTGGACAAAATGCATAAGAGACTAGAAAAATGGAGATCTTTGTTGCTATCAAAGGGGGGTCGATTAACTCTAGCACAAGCAGTTCTGAACAGCATCCTGACCTATTTTTTTCAATCCTAAAAGCTCCTATGTCGGTGATCTCGACCATGGAGAAACTCATGCGAGACTTCATTTGGAATGGTGGAAGATTTAGACCAATTGGAAATCTTGTGAAATGGTCATGGACTGCCTTGCCTCACAAACAGGGGGGTCTCGGTATTGGTTCCCTTGGATTAAGGAATAAAGCTCTCCTTATGAAATGGCTTTGGCGCTTTGCAATGGAAAAAAATAGTTTTTGGAGGAAGGTGATAGCTTCCATTTATGGGGAGGATTCACATGGTTGGACGCCTTTGCCTTTGCAAGGGTCTTCTATTGGAAGACCTTGGATAGATATACAGAACAACCTAGAGGCCTTCACAAAGCTCACTTTTTTTAAAGTTTCAAGGGGGGACTCAGTGAGATTTTGGGAGGATAGATGGATTGTTCCTC